GCCCCGCTGTAATGGGCATAGGCTGGCAGACTGGCACTAATTGGCATGAACAGGCATGGCAGCAGGCATTGTGTGGATGAAGGAGAGGTGGGCGACTGCTCAGCATGTGTCCTTGTCGGTGAATAATGTGTTCCACCTTTTCAAAGGCACACGGACAAAAATGTCAGACAGGCAGCAGCACCGGTTGAGCATGCAGACTCACACACATCATCAAAGGCCTCCGCTGATCTACACAAACACACATCCAGCACCCCTGAGACTCAACAGGACACACATGCAGCACACACCGGAGCTATACAGAACCCAGCCGTCATCCAAACAAACAAATTCCACAGCCAGACACACACACACACACACACACAACACACACACTCCACAGGTGTCTGCATGCTGCCCAGCAGTGTGCCTACTCCTGGCAAACGTGGTGAAAACAACAAAAGACTTTGATTAAATACACAAACCCATATGCATGTCCATTAACTCTGTACAATCAAATGTATATAATCATGCTGATTGCTTTCAGACTCCCAGAAGGGAAAATGGGTCCAGTCAATTTGGCAATCTGTGTGTGCTGTTCGCAAAGGGACAATGTTTACAAGTTAAACTAAATCTAAAACTTGTTTTCTTCATTAGAGAGGAATTATGTTATTCTTTGATTGACTGACTGTATATACACTATATATACTGTAGTTTGTATACTAAGAATATTTTAATTATGTTAGCTTATAAATATTAAATATTATAAAAGCACATCTGGTGTGAGTATATAACTATAATAATGAGAATAATAAGAATAATAAGGATAATAAGGATAAAAATAATAAACACAAGTCACTGAAATTGAACTATGTATGAAAATACATAAAACACAAATGTACTAATCTTTAATAGAGAAAAGTCAAATGTATAAAATCTTTTGCAAAGTAAAATATATTGCTGCACTTTATGTCTCTGCAATTTCTTTTTGCAGGTCTGCCACCATACACACTACTGATAACCCAATAGAGTCAGCCATCGGTAAAGCGCTTTCAGTTGATGGAAGACTTGAAAGGCACTACCATTAACAAACCAGTTTGCATGTGGAGGTGACTGTTAAAAAAAGCACTCAAGTACACACTTACACTGCCCATGCTACAGTTTAGGGAAGATCAACTTGCCTCACTTTTCCAAATAAACTTTAACTTTCTTTCAACATCATTATTTTCAGTAGTTTTTATGTTTTGCGCATGCACACACACACATATTGTACACACAAACACACATGAAAGGAAATTCCATCTCACTGGGTGGGCCTTTTTTAAAGTAAGGAAAGACCAGTGAGTGCTTTATGTGTGTGAGGGTGTGTGTGCTGTGACCAAAAAAATAACTTTTTTGTGTGCAAAATTCTTGCTTCTAGATCGAAAATGTTTTAGAAGCTGTGTCAAACACACACACACACACACACACACAGTTGACTTGAGCCTGGTTATATGTATCCTTATAAACATACAAAACCCTTTGACCCTGACCCAATTTCAACGCCAATCCCAATTTTTGCCTACAAGCCTATTCACACTGTGCGTGTTTACAGTTTGACAGCAGTTATGTAAGGCTACGCAGTGGAAGGGAGAAATAGAGAGGGGAAAAAAAGAGTGAGGAACAAAGAAGGGAGGGGCAGATAAAAGAGGAGAGGAGAGAAGGGAATGACAGGGGGAGGAGGAGGAGGAAGAGGAGGAGGAGAGGGAGAGCAGGATAAAATAACAAGTAAACGATGGAGGAGCAGGAAAAAGATGGAGAGAGACAGTGATGTCACCTTGTAGTGGCACTGCAGTGAGCGGGACAAAGAAAGAGAGAGAGGAGAGAGAAAAGAGAGCGAAAGGTACATGGAGAAAGAGACTTAAGAGATCTATTAGCTGATAGAAGTCATACAGACAACCTCCCACTCCTTAGGCAATTGATTTAAGGATATTGTGCAGTGTCTGTCTGTGTGTGTGTGTGTGTGTGTGTGTGTGTATGTGAGAGGGTGAGTGACAGTGAAACTCTGGGTTTGGGCCTCAGGGCATAATGTAGTACAACTAGAAATCTCTCTTTATCTCTCTTTTGAGACTGCACTCCTCTCTCTGTATGTGTGTGTGTGTGTGAGCATACATGTAGACATTGGTGTGTGTATGTGAGTGTGCGTGCGTGTGTGTGTGTGTGTGTGTGAGAAAGAGAATGAAAAAAACTTACTTTGTAACTAAAGGAGCATGTTAATGTAAGCTTTAGTCACTTTGATGTGTGTGTGTGTGTGCTTCTACTACTCATGTTGTGGGCTGTATTCACAGAAGGTAAACCATTCAGTTTGAGGGTAAAGTCTAGGATTTTGGTTAATGGTTAGGTTTAGCATGTAGCGTTCATGGTTAAGTCTCGAGAGGATGAATATAAGTCAATGCAATGTCCTCCTAAGTGACAAAAAC